TGGCAACGCACCAGACATCCAGCTGATCGCCGTTCCAATAATTATTACTGTAAGCTACTGAAGCAGGAATTATCCTACTTCAGATCCCAATCCTTTAACTCCTACCTTGCATCTCTCTCCACTCATGATAATTCCCTTTGGAATATCACCAAAAAAATCCTAAAATCTCACCATGTCTCCCATCCCCTCCGACGAAGTGATGGCTCCTGGGCGGCGTCAGATGAAGGCAAAGCTGAGGAATTCGCCAAACACCTCTCCTGCACATTCACTCCTCATCCGGAATCCCATCCTACCCACACTGCAATAGTAGAATTCCTCTCTTCACCCATCCCACTCTCCTTACCACCAAAAGCAGTTAATCCTTCTGAGCTCAAACATCATTTACAAAAACTATCTTCCCGCAAATCTCCTGGATACGACATTCTAATCCCGCTTATCCTTCGGCAACTTCCATCCAAAGCAATCATATTCCTCACTTATATATACAATTGTATCGTACGAACTACCCACTTTCCTCTCTTATGGAAACATTCTGTCATCAACCTTTTTCTGCAACCAAGTAAACCTTCTAATAACACAACTTTCTATAGACGAATAAGCCTACTTCCCATCCTTTCAAAAATCTTTGAAAAGATTCTACTGAAACGTATCCTACCCATTATAGAATTCCAAAACCTTCCTACCCACCAATTCGGATTTCGTTCCCAACATTCCACTGTCCAACGAGGCCTCCGAGTTGTTGACCATATATCCTCAGCCCTAGAAAGCAAGCAATATCGCTCGGGTGCATTTCTGGACATTGCGCAAGCATTTGACCGGGTATGGCACACCGGATTGATCTTCAAGCTTAAAACCTATCTACCTCAGTTCTTATATCTGGGACTTCGATCCTATCTCTCTAACCGCTCCTTTCAAGTCCGCTGAGAAACTGAATTTACCAAGTGTTATTCAATTCAGGCAGGAGTTCCTCAAGGGAGCGTCTTGGGTCCTATCTTTTATATTCTATTTACCCCTTATATACCTACTCATCTTGAAACTCTCCTGGCAACATTCGCTGAATGACACGGCCATCCTATCTTCTAATTCAGATCCCGAAACAGCATCCCTTAACCTACAAAGTCACCTCTCTCTTATTGAACACTGGTGTAATAAGTGGCGCATCCAAGTAAATGAATCTAAATCCAAACACACCACTTTCACCCTTCGGCGCAAGTCGTGTCCATCAGTTTATTTCAACTCCATACCACTTCCCCTCTCCGACACAATTCGGTACCTTGGCTTCCTTTTAGACAAAAGACTAACATGGAACCCACATACCAGACTTAAAAGACAATACGGCCAACTATATAGACTACTCAATAAAAAATCTCAACTTTCAGTTGAGAACAAACTATTAATCTACAAGACAATCCTGAAACCTATCTGGACCTACGGACTCGAACTGTGGGGGACAGCAAAACTTTCCAACATCAAACGAATTCATTCCTTTCAGTCTAAAGTTCTCCGAACAATAGTCGATGCTCCCTTTTATGTAACCAATAAAACCCTACACAATGACCTTAATATCCCATTTGTACTTGATCTAATCACACAGACAAATTTTCCAAATTTCACCAGAATCTCACTCATCATCCTAATCCTGTAGCACAGTCACTATCTACCTCCAGTCATCCCTACAATCCTCCTCGGAGGTTAAAACGGCAGTGGCCCCGCGACATTTTGTAAAAATGTATATATTGGAGTACTGGCACTGGCCAGATTCTTCACTCATGTCCTGAGCGTCTGTTGCTCTAGTGCCCTCCATCAGCCTCCACTGGCTTACTATACCAGTGACGCGGCTGGGGTAGAAGCACTGGGATCTCCTGGAGTCCTGCTTTGGCTTCCACAGTTGGGGGACAAAGCTTGATTCGGAGTCCCCTGGGCCAATGTAAATATTGTACATAGATGTGAATGTGTTTTATTTTTTCTGTTATTATTCGGCTGATCTGTTGTTTTAATTATCTTGTATATTACTTTATCTTTATATATATATACATATATATTTCCTTTCTTATGTACATATTGTGTGAATGAATACTATAGCCCTAGTACCAATGCCCTTCAGTGTGGCAGACTGTATTAATACTCAATAAAAGTTTAAAAAAAAAAAAAGTATTTGGTCTCAAAATGAGGGAAGCCCATTTGAACCCAAACATTGGAAAAATACATTAAACGAACGACAAAGGAAGTGCCAAAATATCGGAGACGAAAACAAGGATCAGGATCCATTATATGGCTAAACGAATATATAGTAGACAGATGAACAGAATATTTCAAGATGCTGCTCAACGGGGGTTAAAATGCTGGATCAGTTTGGATGATATTAAGGGAACGATGCAGGTTTATTATGGTGAAGACCATTTTATCAGCAAGAAAGATTTGTTATAAGCAATTGGCAAGTCAGCAGGTCTGGAGGAAGTAAACGAGATTTATTATGGTGAAAACTACTTTATTTTAGATTGCTATTGAAGTTGCACATTGGGACTATCTTCACTTTGAAGCAGGTTATAGAGAGGTCTATCGATAAAGGGAAATAGCTCTCCTTCTGTTTAGTGAAATTGCAAAACATTTTTGAACGAATGTGAAAGGAAAACGAGCTTTTCTGAAAGACTAGTAGATATTAGCGCAATCCAAAGTGTGAGGCACTAAGCAGATAGAGAGCTATTTTTCTTTCTCGGTGGACTTCTCTATAACCTAACTTAAAGTGAAGACAGTGCCAATTAGCAACTTGAGTTTCTCAATCCATATCGCTCTGGCAATCGATAATGTTTCTTATTCTAGCTTCTACGATTCTTGAGTAGACTTCTTTGGTACAATAAACATTAATGAATCTCGATCGGTATTACGTTTCCTTGTATCTCCTTTCCTATAAAAGGACAAAACTATAGTCCTTTCATATCATTTTCTAATACATTTGTAGCCTTTGTAGGCGCAGCATTTCGGGTTACTTCGTCCAGACCAGCTGACTTGGCAATTGTTTCGAACAAATCTTTCTTGCTGATCAAATGGTCTTCAACATAATAAACATGCTTAATATCATCCAAACAGATCAAGGATTTTGACCCCCTTCATCAAGCATCTTGAAATATTCTGTTCGTCTGTCTACTATATATTCGTTTAGCCATATAATGGATACTAATCCTTGTTTTTTTCTCCAAGATTTTGGACTTCCTTTGTCGTTCGATTAATGTATTTTTCCAATGTTTGGGTCCAATTTCGCGTTTTCCCTCATTTTGAGAACAAATACTTACAATCAGTTCCAGTTACCTAGAATAACTTATTGCTTCACACTTTTCATCTGTATTTATTCAGAGGGAATAATGCATTCAATATTAAAATTTCCTATTTATTATGATATGGTCCAACTTCCAAACAAAATAAAGGAAGTAAAAATGATTTTTTGAATAGTGATATAATATATCCTCAGCCCTAGAAAAGAAGCAGTACTGTTCGGGTGCATTTCTGGATATAGCACAGGCTTTCGACCGGGTATGGCACTCTTCAAGCTTAAATTCCATCTACCAAAGTCCTTATATCTAATATTCCGATCCTACCAATCTGACCGCTCCTTTCAAGTTCGCTGTGGTACTGAATTCTCCGACTGTCATTTAATTCAGGCGGGAGTTCCACAGGGAAGCCTCTCGGGTCCAATCCTTTACATTCTTTTCACAGGTGATATTCCTCCCCATCCTGATACCCTCCTGGCAACATTCGCTGATGATACCGCTATCCTTTCAACCAACTCAGATCCTAAAACAGCGTCAATAAATCTACAAATGCACCTCTCCCTGATTGAACACTGGTGTAAGAAATGGCGCATTAAGATAAACGAATCCAAATGTAAACACATAACCTTCACCCTTTGTCGTAAATCCTGTCCTCCAGTTTATTTTAACACCATCCTGGAACTCTCATACGAGACTTAAAAGATAGGAACTAGGAACTGAAGGTACCGCTTTTCTGCCGCTTAAGGGCATTTTATACGGAACTACTTCAAATATTTTAAAAAGTAATCAGTGTTTTAGAAAGAGAAATGTATTCTCCAGATGTTTTATTTTAGCACGTTTTGCGTTATTGTTGGCCGTTTAATTACAAACGACGCTTGATTTTCAACTTGAAATTTTTTTTGTTTAAAAAATTGACTTTACTGATGTTTTTTATTGCCTAAGCCAATTAGTTTTTAATATTTTCTTATGTTTTATTATTCTCTGACTATCCAGCTTTAATAAAAGACCAACTATGACGAAATTAAGACAAATGCTGGTTTTCAGTAACTAAAAACTAACTAAAGTCAAAGTCGTCAATCCGCCATGGTTGGACGCCATTTTGGGGGCAGTTGGTTCACTTTTTTTCGTGGAAACATTGGCTTTTTTTTAATAAATAGTTTCAAGGTATACAACGATATGCAATTTATAGGGATAGGGATGTGTATAAAAATAGTGTTTGAGCGACTTCATTTTCTCACATTCATTGATTTCTAACATCAAGAATTGACTAATAATAAGAATAAAAATTTAAAAATCAAATTAGAAAGTATTTGTCAATCAAAATTTTTGAGGGATAAATTATGCAATTTATAGGGATGTGGGGGGGGGGTGCACTGTAGAGGAGGTCTAGACCACCGTGTATAATGCAAAAGTTTCAAAAAATGTTTAATTATTTTAATTATATGTGGATAAATGTAATCTTCTTGTAAACTTAAGACTCTAAAATATTTATGAAGAACAGATTACCACGAATCAAAACTAAAATAATATTTAATAATTTTCGTTTAAGTTACAATAATATTATTCGAAATTTCTTGGAATTTATTAGTTATACTTAGGTATAAAATAAAATAAAAAGAATTCTGCGTTCAATAACTAAATGTATTTGTGTGTAGTTAAAAGTACGTTACCTGATTAAAACCTTAAAATAACCTTCCTTGAATCAGTTTTGGTAATTTCTGTCAACAGTCAATACTTATTCTCAACCTTTGTTGAATTTTGGATTTTATTTCGATTTTTTTGTGTTAGTGATGCTTTGTGATATATGTAAGCTATAATATAGGATTTCGTTCTATCAACTTAAGGAACCACCAGTTTAAAAGCAATAAAATATGAATCCCTGTACTCAACCAGAAGTTCCAGTTGATGATGGGGATCACAGGTGGATGAGTCAAGTAAACTTTTAAGACATTTATTTATTTTTAGAAGTAAAGCTGAAGAATCTATTGAAATATACCCTTAAATTTTTAAATTCATTTGTGTTTCTGTTTATGCTTAAGGGTGTATTTTTTATTAAATTTAAGTTGAATGTAAATTATGTAACTTCTTTAAGAATATTTAACTATTTTTAAACACTTTTACTCGCTAGGAGTAGACTAATATTGAGTGATTTAATAGTTAGTCAGGTTATCATGATTTTATTAATCATCAACCAATGTGTTAATTATGAAAACTTGATGCTTAGTTTAATTTTTAGCCTGAAAAAATAATTTTACTCTCACCTAAACATAGGTGTGCTTAGTGTTTAGTATTTTGCTCCTTTGCTTATGTTGAAAGTCTTTGCTTATAAGTTTTCTCTTTTTATTTAAATTGTATATTAATTCAACTAATGTCTTCATAAGGTTTCATAAATTAGTGGTTGGAGTTTCGATAGTTTCTAATTTCATCTTGAAATAAATTTAATACGCCCACTCAAGCAAGTAGTATTTCAAAGTCCAATGTCTCTGTCATATACTAGTTTTTAGGTTATCAATCTATTCTATCTAAAGAGTGAAGGTTAAGATTTATTCTGTGAATCCACCACTGAGTAAAACAAGTTTTGTCGGTTATATCCAGTTTGGCACCTTTTCATACTATACGGTAAATAGGAGATGAAATCCTCACTTTGTTATAAAATTCCAACTCCATTTATTATTTACTATCTTTGCTATAGATCAAGTTGTTGCAATTATCTAATAATCTTTTTGTTTGCTTTTCTTATATTTATAAATTCAGTATTTTAGAATAAAAATAATATTTTCAAAATTATAATAGGTACCAAACATTATCTATATCCTAGAACTGGACTACCCAAATTTGGAATGTATAGTGACAGACTTTTTCGAGAAATTAAATTTTAAAAAATAAATAAATATGTTCTTTCTATTTAGTACACCATTTAATAACCACATAATCTTTTTAAAGTTTCTGTATTTCACATGTTCTGTGAAAAAGTTTTTATCGTTTTGTCCCACTTGTTTCAAAATTATTTCCTGCAAGTATCCTTCATCATATATTCCAAAATTGAATGTATATTGAACAGTAGATGCACTTATTGACATTTCACACACATATTATCTTGATTAATTCATAATTGTGGGTTGATGGTTGACTGTAGTGAATAATGAAGAGAACGATGGTTGGGATGATCAGTCAAAATAAAAATGGCAAAAATAAATATAATATTTATTGTAACATTTGCCGACGTTTCAACCCGAAGTTCTGGCCTTCATCAGGGCTGATCGAAGTAATCGCTTGCATTCTCTGCAAGGCCTGAACTTCAGGTCGAAACGTCGGCAAAGTTACAATAAATATTATTATTTATTTTTGCCATTTTTATTTTGATTGATCACCCCAACCATCCTCCTCTTCATTATTCACTACAGTCAACCATCAACATCAATCATCTTGATACAATATAGCTGGCAAAGCAGTATAATTAATGTGCAGTCTTATCACGGAGCAGAATGTGGGTAGGATCATGAATTAGTAATCGCGAAACTTCGACAAAAACTTAATATAAAAAAGAGAAAAGAAAACCGTTTCGATTTTGAGAATTTTAATTTGGAAAAATTAAAAAATCCATCAATTAGAAACCAATTCGAGCTAGATGTTAAGAATAGGTTTGAAGCTTTAGAGCTTCCTGACGAGGACCACGAGGATATTGACAAGTTATGGGTAGAGATCAGGGATAATATTAAAGCGGTCGGTAACTCGTGTCTAGGAAAAAAGGAAAATAAGAATAACAAACCGTGGTTTGATGAAGATTGCTTAAACATGTGCGAAAAAAGGAAAGCCGCTAAATTAAAAGCTCTAAATAATCCTAGCGAAGACAATCTGGAATACTTCCGAATCTCAAAGAACGAAACGACATAATTGCTCAAAAATAAAAAAAGGGAGTATCTTAAAAATAAAATAATTGAAATAGAAACTGATAGAATCGAAAATAACGTAAGAGACATGTACAAAGGTATAAACAGATCACGTAAATATGTAGGGCCCGTAACGTCTGGAATTAGGGATGATAATAACAATATTCTGACCGATCCGGTTGACATATTGAATAAGTTTAAGGACCACTTTGACAATATTTTAAATACGGGAAATTATGATCTGTGTCCTCCTTCTGAGTACCAGAGTGCTGAACCGTTAATAGAAGGACCGAGTAAAGAGGAAGTTGAAGTAGCTATCGGTAAATTAAAATCATATAAAGCAGCGGGAATCGATAATATTCCTACTGAACTAATTAAGGCATGATGGGGAAGCTGGAGTTTCTAAAGTACATTTGTTGGTTAAAAAGATCTGGGAGAATGAGAAATTACCTGAAGAATGGAAAGAATCTATTCTTATTCCGATTCACAAAAAGTTTCTGAGATCGGATTGTAATAACTATCGAGGAATTTCACTCCTTCCGGTATGTTATAAAATATTCACTTTAATTTTAAATCATAAAATCACGGAATACACCGAGAAAATTATCGGAAAATACCAATGCGGACTTAGACAAAATCGTTCGACTATTGATTGATTATTTTCTTTATGGCAAATATTAGAGAAAAAAATAGAGTACAATGGTATTGTTCATCAGCTGTATATCGATTTCAAAAAGGCTTACGATTCTGTTGACCGCCAGAAACTGTATAATATTCTAATCGAGCAGGGTATTCCAAAAAAACTAGTAAATTTAGTCAGGCAGCCCTCAGAAGTTGGCAAAAAGGACCATGTTGCCCACACTTGCCGGACTAGTTTTCCACACCAGTACCGGTACTAGTACCTTTTCAGACACAGTCTGTCATCTTGGTTTCCTATTTTACAAATGACCTATCTATATGAAGAATTATACAGATTAATAAACCAAACTTGTAATCTTTACAAGAACTTTTTGGACCTATGGGCTTGACCTGTAGGAGATAGCTAATTTTTTTAATATTAAAGCTTCCAAACATTTTAGTCTTAAGTCCTTCAAACAATATTTATTTATTGTTACAAGTGACCATCAAGAATTATCTCCAAATCCTATTCTGGTCAATATACATTTTTAAAGTGTACATTTATAAATTTCCAGATTTCTTCAAATTTAAATTTTTGCTGAATTCTATGTTGTGTATTTTTAAAACCTTCAAAGAATAATTAATGTTCTAAATTATTTAACGTATAATATCTATATCATGATATCAATATTTCTTATATTTTAGAACTTATTTATTTCATTTAAAATTAGCCCATTTCAAAAGACCCTTATTCATCATTCTTATACTTTAGCGATGTCCTTATTTAGCCACGTTATTGGATTCCCGGCTATGGGAAGCTTCTCCAATGGCTTTTAATACCAGTGAGGTCTCTTGAAGTCTTCCAAATTTAGACAAAACTTTATGCAATGTTTAATAAGTTCACTAAGCTCAGCTTGTGCTGGTATCTATGCCTGGTTCAATTGGAAGAGAAAGAAGTGCTTGTATCTTCCGGAGTCCTGCTTTGTACTGGTATTGGTAAAAATGGGGATACGGATCCGGCAGGTAGGCCTATTGATCCTTCTTTCCAACCCCAAAGAGTGTTAATCGGGGTTCATTTCTGTTTAAACCAAGCGGGCACTTGGTTCTAAAAGGAAAGAAATTGTTTTGCCTGTCTAAGAAATTCGCATTCCCTCCACTCCTTACCTGCTTTGAGATACCTAATGCAGATTCTGGCCCTATAAGGTGAATCTCAGCACCATTTCTTGCAAGCTCATCTGCTTTCTCATTGCCTGTTACACCTTTTTGACCGAGAACCCATACCTATCGCAAGTTCTTAGAGAGCCTTCAATCCCTGCCTGCACTCCCTCACTAGAGGGGAGGCCACTTAAGGAGATTCTAAGGCTTGAAGTGTTGACTATCTGTGTGGTGTGATAGATCGTGATGTCCCTATCACACCTAATAGCTTCCGAACATGTGGCTACTGACAATATGGAGAATAATTCTCCCTGAAATACAGTAGAATGTTTACTTCATCGAATACTTAATTCTATTAAGTATGGAAGACGTTAATTCTATAATTCTTTATATAGACTCTGGCCTTCGTTAGCCCAGTTGAGTTTTTCCTCGAACCATCAGTGAAGCATGGTAGATAACCTTTTGCAGTTTCTTTTAAGCATAATGATTTTGTTTATATATTATGTATTATTTTGTTTTTATATCAATCAATCAAGAGTAATGTCTTAAAAATAAATTTGTATGTACCATATTAGTTTTATCATACTTACAGTTATTTAATTTAAAATATTTCTAATAAATGTTTTCCTGTTGGATTTTATATAATTTAATTTTCATTTACTCTTTTATAGCATTTGTGTCATATTGCTCAAACTAAAGAAAGAGAGCCAGATGTACTCTTCATCGGTGACTCATTGATACATCATCTGCAGTACCGTTCTGTTTGGACGGAACTCTATGAACCACTACACTGCTTAAATTTTGGTATTTCTGGCGATAAAATACAGAATGTTTTATGGAGGATTCTTAATGGAGAACTCAACAACATTAATCCAAAGGTAAAGGGAAAGGAGTTCTTGTTTAGAGTTCATTTGCCAATATTTTCTTTTATATTCAGAGAATATCTCAGTGGATGTGTTGTTTGATAAGACTGTTATAATAATATTTAAAATAAAAAGAAAAGTGCTGTAGCTATATTAATTTTTATTTTTAGATTTTATCTTATTTTTTATTTTTATTGTTATATAAATTACTGATTTTTTAATGGGCTAGATCCTATTTAAATTTATAACTTTCCTTTTAAGAATCGATTATTCTGATCTCGTAAAAAGTAGTTATAACTTATTACACATAACTACATACTTACTCGTAATTTTTATTTTGAATGGTGTGAATCTAGCTTCTTAACATATTGACTTCCATGATACTTTTGAGGATTCCGGTTTATTAAAAATGCTTATTTTACTGCATAGTAATCATTAAAAACATACAGAATATGTTTTTCTGTTAAATAAAAGATATTTGGAATTTTCTCATAATTGGCTTATATATACTAACTTAAAATAATGAATAAATTTTATGCTCATGTAAACTAGCTCGACTCTGCTAACTATTCCAAACCTCTTCTTTGTACTCCATGTCCATCATAATGCTAAGTTTGGATTAGTTAGATACCACCTGAGATTAAATTTTTCTAATTGTTTCTCCCAGAAATTATCCTAGGAATAAAATATTGATACACATTGCTAACAAGGATACAACAAACCAAGGTGTCGGGAAATCCAGGAATACGTTAGGGATTTTTCATGTTTCAGAAAGTTGTCTTTGCTCCAACCTATTTGCCAGTAGTGAATGCATTAGTATTATTATGTTAACTGGTATAATATTGCTTATGAGGAACTTTTGTTTGTGATTATTACATATTTGATGTATTATGTATAGTTTTTAAAAATTATTTTTGTGGTAAGACATTGTTTCAGTATGATGAATAAGAATATCTTCATTACATTAATTTCATGATTTAGAAGTATTTTTTTAACTTTATCTATTTTTATACTTATGTAGTTTTGCTATATTATGCTATTATTATTATTATGCGAGCCAGGGCCCAAAAATCGACCTGATCGCAGGCGAAGGTTTGATTATATATTACGAAAGTGTATGTTATTCTGAGTAAAAAGAACCTTCTCTGTCGTTCCAGAGCCACTGTTTTCAAAAATGGCGACTAATTCAAAGAATACTAGGCCAATAATTTGAGGATCGAAACGGGAAATCCATTGCGAAAAATGTGGAAAAAGTTTTTATTTTTTTAACTTGTATATATGGGTTTAGACATGTAAAAAATAAAATTATTAACGCGGGCTACCAAAGCTTTTTACAGTCAAAAAAGTCAGATTTTTTCAATATTTTTTGGGTTTTTCACCTATAACTCCTAAACAACACATCAAAGCGAAAAATGTATTCTTTAATAAATCAAAGAATGTTAAATTTTGCGTCAAATGAGTACATAAACTTTAAAATTTGGTTACACGGTAAGGTATGAAACAACGGTTAACCAACACTTATTTTTACCAAATTTGTCAAAAACTGAGACAAATTACTGTAACTAGGAAATGAGTTCCCTAAGAAGAAATCCCATTGAATCAAAGTTGTAGTCAAGCCTCCTTTCCACCTCTCAACAGCAAAGGATTTTTGTAAACGATGTGTCGAAAGATACCAAATTTTATAAAGGAAATACAAATCCCGATTCGAGATATATATTGGCCTATAATAAAAATGTCAGTAGTCAGTAGATGCAAAATTTGATGCTCTACCACTTTGATTCTATGAGTTTTTCCTCTTAGGGAACTCTTTTCCAAGTTACAACGCCATTTATAGTAATTTGTCTCAGTTTTTGACAAATTTGGTAAAAATCAGCATTGGTTGACCGTAGTTTTATACGTTACCGCGTAACCAAGTTATTAAGTGTATGTACTCGTTTGACGCAAAATTTAATGTACTCTAATTTATTAAAGAATATTTATTTTGCTTTGATGCATCGTTTAGGAGTTATAGGTGATAAAAACAAAAAATATCGAAAAAATCTATCTTTTTTGGCAGTAAAAAGTTTTCCCTTGGTGGCTCTCCATCTCCCATAAAAATAATGTCCATAATTTTATGAATTAATAAAATTTATCTTTTACCTTATTTTTATTGAGGGAGGGGAGAAGAATTCCGTTTTTTTAGTTTTAGTTAAAAAATAATTAAGGTTTTTTATTCTTATAATTTTATGTGTTTATTATATTCAAATTAGTATATAGTTTTTCTCTTTACCTTACTATATTGTCCAGTTTTAACTATAACAAATAATGATAACTTTTTTCAAATTCAGGATTGTAGATTGAAAGATCAATTTTTCTTCACTTCTTAGTACCTTCATTTAATTTTAGTAGCATCCGTTCTTACTTTCACTTCATAATTGAAGCTTATTGTAATTGCTAATTATTAATTTAGGGCTAATTTACATAGTTATAACTGTGTTAACTCCTGAATTTTTTTAAATTTTACTCTCAAAACTGCTATTTCATTTTCACATTCACAGCCAAATTCTTTAGCTATGGTAAATATTAAGGTTCTATTTTGCTGGTACTGTCCATGGTAGCGACTGCTGGCAGTTGAGCTCTGCTTTAGTTGAATAGAAAGGAACCATTTCATTAGTACTGCTTGGTAGTCTAGGTATGACGTCATATCTATACTGCTCTTCTCTGACTGCTTCAGAAGCAGTAAAGCTGTTGGCAATGCTGCGGTTATAGGTTATGTTATCATTTGATGATAATATTCACCTTGATACATTTCATTTCCTTTTTTTTTTCAAGTCAGGCAAAATTAAATGGAATATTGTTTAAAATTTAAACAAAGCTGTAATAAATAATTTTTTTAAAGGTTGAAGTAACAAGATTATTTATTTATTTATTCCACCAAAAGTATTTTACAGAGAAATTCTGATACACCAAATCCAAACGACATTAAGTAAATTGAATAATCCAACAAATTTTAATGTCAGGTAAATGCTGAAATCCACACATTGAAAAATCAATTTGTATTTTTTAATTGAAGTGCTGATTTAGTGATTACCTATTGATAAAACGGTAAAATATTGCCCGCTGTGATTTTATTACAAATATATGATATTTATTACTAATCAATTATGTAATAATTACTGTTACTTATCAAACTAATAATTAGTAATAAATTTAAAATCCTAGATAAATCCTCAGTTCTTAAAATAATGCTTTATCATCTTATTAATAATTATATTTTATATTAAAAATATTACAATAAACAATCATTTTGTAGAAGGTGGGAATTAATATATAGATAATTGTTAACATTTCATAGTACAAACATAACTTAACCTTGTTATTCAACTTTAACTATTAGTAAAATGGCATGTATTAATTAAATAAGATCAAAACTCCGCTATTAAATATATTGCTATCCTTCCGATACAAATAAAAACAATTTTATTTAAAATTATATCAAACTAGGACGTTAAATTGATAAGATTTGACCGTGACGGTGAACAATTTCAGGAAAATAGACAAGCATTAGCGGTTGGCAGTATGGAATAGTGGATACCGGTCACTGCCTTGGACATTGCCAGTGAAATAACACCTTAAGTGGTCTGTTGAGTTTTTTTTTTTTTATTAGTTGTTTTGCTTTCTGACTTTTTAATCAAACTTTTCTGATTGAATGATGTTCTTGAGAAACAGGCTTAGTGTTATAGGGCTTTTTTTTATCTTAATTTTTAAGCACTGAATTTATGATTAAGTATTTCTTTTGTTTGAATTATTAATGTTGTGATTTTAATATATTTGTAAGTAATGTTTCATGAATTTTAAATTATGCTTTCTTTACAGGTTGTTGTATTGCTTGTTGGAACAAACAATATTCACAATACTCCAGAAGAAATATGTGAAGGAATACTTTGTATTGTAAGTGCGATTCGAGAAAAACTTCCTACCTCTTATATTGTTGTAATTGTAAGTTACAATCAAGGTAATTTTAAATTTATAGATTGCTTCTGTTATGTATTTGCTTTAAATGTATTATTCACTTTTCACTAAATTAATACCTTTGACATGCTCTTCAAAGAATACCCTTCTCCACTTATAGAAAAAAAAAAGAAAAGAAAATGACTTTACTTATCTAAGTATAGGTCTTTAACTCGAAGGTTTGTGAAATGGAAAGGTTCAAGTTGATGGTGGTAGAAAATAAATGAATTAAACTACCGGTTTTGATCAGTAGACCCTCCATAGCAGTTAAGGGTTAACAAAATCTGTCTTAAAATTGTCAATAATTTTAGTAAAATTTTCATTATGTTGAATACTATTATTTTTATAAATTTATTTTTTATCTATAGGAAATTAATTCCCTTTGATCAGAATATTGAAAACTTCCATTCATATGTTAAAATGTTTTATATGTAAGTTTAAACATATATCTAATTTCCTCAATTTTTTATAACTTATCCTAATGCCTTAATGACGTTTTACTTTCATTTGAAATTTCATATGAAATATATAGTAAGGGACAGTATTGCGATTGTGAAAATTTTTGAATCTGAGTTTTTAACGGAAATACACGTTTTGAGGTACCTAGAGTCCAAATAACCAATTCTCGCAAAGTGGTGTCATCGATTAGTGGAAATACCTGGGTATATCTAATTATAATAGATATAACTCGCAAACATAAGAAAAAAGGTTTCTGCCTGATTTAAAAGAGAGGGAGAGGGCACCTTGTAACATTTTGCCTAAGGTACCTACAACCCACAAGATGGCCCTGATTGACTGCAGTAACTCAGAGAATGTGATTATTCCCTGGATTATTCATCGATGAGGTTGATAATGATGTATGCATCACATTGTATTAATGTATCAAACATTGATGTATGAAAAAATCTGATAAAATTTTTGCAGTTACTTTGTTCATGAGATGTTAATGCATTTATTTCAAAAGTGAACTACCCTGACAAAGAAAAAAATAGAAATATTATGTTTATAATTTCAGTTTTTCAGTCCTACATTTGCTTTTTTTAAATTTTACCTGCAATTAAGTTATAAATTTCGATTCAGAGTTTGAGCTGGGAAAGAGGGCACTATTTCCAACTCTATCCAGTTGAACAAAAAAAAAACTATTCAATGATAATTTTATCGCAGAACGGACCTGATTTTGTACATTATGAAACATTCTTTTAGTTCCTATAATCTTAGAAATCGTATTCATAAAGCTCAATTTAGTATTTGATTTGAATGCTAAAGCATTTAAGTGATTAGTTCTTTTATGGCACTGGTCAGAAATTCCTTGTTTCTGTAAAGGAAGTTTCCATGTATGTGTTTCTGTTCATCAAGTTCTGTTACATGAATCAAAAGTGTAATAGAGCTTTTTAATATTAAAAGTACTGTTAAACAGTGGCATCATTGACTTTTTGAGTCACTGGGGTAGGACCTAGAGATTTGGTTATCTATCAGACCCTTTAACTCCTGTGATCAATATTATTACAAGTAGACCAAGTAATGGCAATTATCCAACTAGTAAAACCATCTGTTACAAGCTTTTTGAGCCGTTACTTCCTACCTAAACAATTAATACTTGCAATTAATATATATATATATATATATATATATATATATATATATATATATATATATATATACATACATACATACATACATACATACATACATACATACATAATCTCGCTCAGGAAACAAAAGAGAGTAGAGTTTTTTTTGTTTCCAGTGCTTTCTTAATCTTGGTTACATATATATATATATATATATATATATATATATATATATATATGTAAAGCACTGTCAAAAGAAGCTCTAGTATTTAAAAACAATGGAATTAGATACTTCTTATTGTACCACTTCTAGAAATTGTCTCTTAAAATGGGTAGTGTAACATTAGTCATAAGATTGCTTAATTCTGATCATTCAGGGGAATAAGTTCGGTTTTGAATTTGATCGAAACGCTTCATGTTTATAATTAAGCTCCGAATTTTTGTAATTTTAATCAGTGTGTGCTAAAGTCAAATGTTTGAAAACTTGGATTTTTCTTACAGCTTTAGTTGCTAAATTTCAGTCCGTTGTTTATTGATCTAGCACTATTCTATTTAAATATCATTACTGCTATTGTTTCCAATATAATAATATTTCTGTTTTTCTATTTCATATTACATATATATATATAATTTTTTTTTCAGGAGCTTTTGCCTCGAGGAAGAAATCCAAACCCTATTAGAGATCACTCTAATAAAGTAAATCAGATTCTTAGGACAAAAATATCTAATTTGTCAAAAATTGAAACTGTATCAGCAAGTAAGGGACTCGTTCAAACAGATGGTACCATCTCACATCATGATATGCCAGACTTCTTGCACTTATCTGATGCTGGATATCGTAAAGCTTTTGAATCTGTGTATGAACTTTTAAATCAACTTCTGTTTGAAAATGAAAAAGAACAGGATCTAACTCCATCAGAATAAAGCTTATTGTTTCAACATTTACATGTAATATGTAATTTAATCTGTAACTGGCATTGGTAAGATTATTTGTTTGCAAAGTTTGTATTATTTAAATTCAAGGGAATTTACTTCATAATTTTTTTTTAGTAAAGTACATTAAAAAAATACTTCAATAGGAAAATTGATTAGAAAAAAATCAAATTTTACCTTAACTGCTTTCTTTTTGTGATATATGTATATAATGGAACAAATTTCTTACCTCTCTAAATTTTATATTTATAACTCAACAGTCTTGAATGTGTATTGGATAACAATAATAGTAATAAGTTTCTTAAAACTATTATCTATAACCCTTGTAGAAATCTGAAACAAAAATTGTTGAGAGCTGATCGAAGTATTCATTTACTTCAGCCTGATAGTTAATTACCTTACAGGGAGGAAGCATTAGTGAATTTAGTTCATTTATTTAAAAAAAAAAAAAATTCTTACTTCACTGATCATATAATAATTTGGTAAACTTCAAATATATTATTTGTATGACACCATCAGTTATCATGTCCAAGCTAACCTCCAATTGTCTTCTAAAAAATTCAATTTCTTTACTTTAACCATAAAAGTTAAATTACCTGAATATCTCCTTTTTAAAGAGACATAGCTAAAAAATGCTTATATTCAATCTTAAAGAGCTTAATATTATAAAACATTTTTATCTAAATCCAACAGGAAGCAAACTACGGAGCTTTCAAAATCGATAGACTTTTGAAAATTCACAAAAAACATACATAATTTTTTGTTTTTAACTAATTATCTGTTTTTCTAGGTAACAAAACTCATTTACTAGTTTTTACATGAAACATAGTTTTCTAAACTTAACACCTTAAATACAAATTATGGGTGATAAATATTCAGGACACAGTCATTATTAAGTTTTTATTGCTGGAATACCAGTACTTGAATATCCTATATTCTTGAATATAACCTAATTGAATTTTTGAATACTTCAGTGCTCGAAACACGCCCATAAAAAACTTTACAATGACTGTGTCCTGAATATTTATCACCCATGGTATGTAGAATAGTCGACTAACTTCCTTTAATAATTCATTAAATACAAATTGCAAAAAGAAATGGATGTTTTGAAATTTAAAAAAAAAACTTATAATTTTGTTTTTATTGTGTTCTCAGTAATTTGCTGTTAGCCAAATTTTATCCATTGACCTATAATTGAGTGATAGTGTAAGAATTGGCGTGGACTTTATGAGGTTGGATCACTGAAATTTAATACATGTATAAATTATGTATTGAATATATATAAAAAACAAATTATTCAAAAAATTGATTATATTGCATGTAATTAACAAACAAAAGAAATACAATTTTGTGCACTTGTACTATTTCATTGATCTTGAAAGATAAAGTAGATATTGCTGATTGTAGTAGTAGTAGATACAATTTTGTAGTATTGCATTTCCATGTTGGAAATGATTTTGCTTCAGAGTAAAATTGTATGATTAATTTGGACTCACTTGGTGTCTGAAATTGAGCTCATTTCTGGCCTTCTCTTCTTTCCCATACTTTCTCCCACTAGCGGATCCAGGATTTAATTTTTGGGGGGGGGGAGCTTCAGCCCGGAAGATTTTTTTTCATATATATAACGATAATTAATTTGAAAAAAAAAAAGAAATATACTAACTACCTATATGAAATGGTGTTTAAGTGATTATTGAAGTCCTAATTAATGTAATTACACTAACAATAATACTTTAAGAGATAGTATTTAATATTTTTTTCTATAAAACATGGTAATATTTTACTGTTTTGGGGGCTTCAGCCTGAAAGGGACCGGCTTGAAAGTGCCTTTCATGTATGTCTCTTATGATAAGGTGTGACAAGGTGCACTTTCTGGGCAAGGGTATTGGATTCTTAGAGGGAATGCCAAAGGGAGAATATAGCCTGCCACCCATCCTGATGGTGTCCAGTTCGTCAATAAAAGAAGAGAGTTGTTTTAACTGATTGTGAGTTAAGGTCTGTCTGTATTGGCTCTGGACTATGCAAATACATTTCAGTTTGGCTGTTTTTAATTCATTAGTGATGATAGTATTTAAATGAATGCTGGTGGAAGAGGAAGGAGTTTTAGTAGTCTTTGTTCTAAGTTAATGAAACGCTTGATGACTTGATTCTCGCCAAGTAGAACAGCATCCGGGTGAAGTAGTTGCCTCAACATGTAGCAACTATCCTGAATTCTTGTAGTTCCTGTGTGGGTGGAGAAGAAAATGTTATTCACATAACTTGTCAAGTGGGTTTTGCTGATCTGATCTCCGGTTTGGGCTCCTCAATTTCCGAGCAGGCCTTGAGCTGCTGTTCATTAGTGGATTGATACACGAAAAGAGAACGATACTTTGTGCTGTAGATTCTTCATTAAGTTTTCCCATGATTAACAAGCCAATCTTAGATGGTAAAAGATGTAGCTATCCAATTCCTGAAAAATGGCACTGCTGTTATTAAAATAGGAAAGAAGTCAATACCTATGAGAACGTCAATGATGCCAGGTTTGTGAAATTGGTCATCAGCCAGCCTGTAGTGTGATAAATTTGTGAAGACGTGATATGGCATACAGATGTTGGGCAATGGTGGTGTAATTTTTTCCATAATTACTGCATTGGTAGAAAAGTTTTCTGAACTGTAGGTAGATCTGATATGACACTTGAGAGATCCTGCAGGTTGAGCAGCCTAATCCAGTGATTTGACCATTAAATGTTTCTAGGTTCTTACCAATCCTTTTGGCTAGATGTCATGAATATTTACTGAATACCCGAGCGAAATACAGCCCGAGCAGAAAACAGTTTTTCATCCATTGCCGACCCCCAGTATTTGAGCTGTGCCCAGCAGTGCATTTCCAAGGTGTACATCTGGATTAGGATCAGAACCAAATCTAATAAATGTAGTTTCTTGAGGTAGGGTCTGCTGATGAAAGTTACGATTGGAATCTGAATGAATGAGGCTGTGTTGCTTCTTTCTACAAAATCTACAGTACCATTTTGAGTTACATTTAGCAACTTGGTGACCTTTGCAAACAAGCAGTTTTGGCAGTACTTGAGGCTTCTGACAAATCTACCCTTTCATGAAGCGGTGAATTGTGTGTAATCAATAAGAATGTTTAATTTCAGTGATTCAATGATAAGTTACTGCTAAATTGTAATTGATTACAGAAATTTTAGTAATTTTATAAGGTTAAATTCCAGAAAGAATATAGAAATCAAATTACAGATTCACAATTCACTGAATTATTTTGTTATTATCAATATTATGTTGTTAATAATAATGAAATACATATGAATTTAAATAGTTTTATGAAGCAAAGCTTAAAAACAATAAATGTTGCTAGGGCGGTGAATCGATTTTATATGAGCCATATGACATATGCTCTCGCATGGTGTGGGGATGGTCCCACCGTCCCACTGGTATGGGGATGGTTGGTGGAAATTCCTTGTAAGTTCCTCCCAGCTAAGTCTGATAGACTCGCTGACCAACAATGAGAGGGGACCTCCAGACTTGCTGGAAGATGTGATGTAGGATTGAACGCCCTACTCACATATCTTTAGTTCACCATACACCACAAATAGTCATGGATCTCCCTAAGATAAAACACTCATTATCCAGAGGTAAACTAGTCCCCTATTCGGATCTCTGAATGGGGACTGTTTTAGGGGATTAATGGCGTCAGCTGAAAAATAGTGATTTAGGTATTGGTACATGGAACGTAAGGAGTTTGAATTCAGCAGGTCGGTTAAAAATGATTTCGAATGAGGTTAATGGGTACAAATTGGAAATCGTGGCTCTTCAAGAGCTTCGCTGACCAGTGGAGGGCTTGATAAGGGAATGAAAGTGCACTATTTAGTACGGAGGAAGCAGGAATCATTGTTTAGGGACTGGGTTTCTAATTAGGAATAGATTGCTATCTGCTTTTAGAGACGTGCAATTCTTTAGTGATAGAATTCCGTTAGCCATATTTCAGGGACGTTGGTTTAAAATCGCGTTATAAACATGCATTGTCCGACCAAAGACAGTGTCGATGAAGTAAAATGCGAATTTTATGATAAACTCGAATTTAATGGAAGTCCCTGTTCAGAGGGTCTGTCATTTGGAGGATGAACTGGCTTATAACATCATCTGTTGGTATAATAATTTTGCAAAATTGAGATACATGCACCTTGACTGGACCTCTTCGTGAACTTAAAGGTGTTTTAGATTAATTAATCCACAGAGTTTATTAGAGGAAAGTTAATGTCTTATTTGCTTTATTATAGGTCTTTCACTGATTTTGAAAACAATTTTCACTTAAAAAATAAGGCAGAGGTCTATTTTAAAATTAATCTTCATATAGTTGAATCCCAATTTATTTTCCTCAGTCCAGACGTCCAAGTTTTTCGGTGTTCTTTTTATTTTATTTTTTTCACTTATTGCTTCCAGAATTGTATTGGTGGCTGCTTTAAGTTTACAAAGTCTGCTTAGATAAACATCCATCTATAATAGCCATTCTTCTCATTCCATAAAAAAAAATTACATTACATACTAGGTAATCAGAATCATCTCAATGCTTTCTAAATCCTACAAATCATCGAAAATCAGATGGAAGTCAGAATATCATTTCATTTTTTTTAATATTCAGTATTGTTTATATAAATATAAGTTTAATATTATACTAAAAATAAAATGTGATATTATCCTTTTCTTGTCACCTCCAGATGTCATTTATATTAATTTCATTGCTGCCTTCAATAGTTTCCTTATTCTCTATTCTCTCCCTTTTTTTTACAATTTTAATTTATTTTTTCTTTCAGTAAAACGCACAGAACTTGAATATCTTATCGAGATGGGAGAAGATTTGTGAATCCTATATTATTTCTTCTTTTTTTTTTAAGAAGCATTTTTTTTACTACTTTAAAGAACATGATCAATTTAATTGTAACCACATTAGTATACCAGTATTAGTATCCAATTGTAAACCACATTCTATGAATGAAAATAATTGTTTTGTTTTTTTATCAATTTGTAACTTGATTTTTTTTTTGTCTAACATAAATTGAAAAAAATAGTTGATTAATCCTGTTAGGATTTGGTGGTTTTTTAGAAATACAATTTACAAAGTATTTTTTATTGAAATGGCATAGATATGCTCAAAGCATGTTGATACAGTACATGCTTTGTTCTAGTGCTAAGCTTTATGTGCTACTACAGTTTTTTATAATATCTGTGATAATTGCTAATTATAAATATTGATGTATTTTACTATGAATTTCACAAAACAAAGCTCACAGGAATATATGATAATGTTTGCTATGTGAGAGTGTGAATGTTTTGTCATTTCATTTTTTTTTTTTTTTACAGTTCTATATTGCTCAATATTACATTTGAAATAAATAAACAAAAATGATTTGTGTGTGTGTTATATGCACACACATATATATTGCATAGTGTGTTTGTGTGTGTGTGGTGTATTTATGTATGTACATATATATGCATTGTATATTGGATGGTCAACTTCACAGATATTGTATGATGTAATAATGTTACTTAGGGTTGAAAGCTGGGAAAATGTCTAATCCAGTTCTGCAGAAATGAAGTGGATTTCAAACACAAATAGTTGGTTTATTGTAATAAATCACTAAGTACACTTTCAATTACATATTACTGAATTTTGATCATATTTATTGATGCAAAAAAGCATTTTTTTTCTTTCTATAGTAGTTATATAAAGTACACATGTTTTGAATTATGAAATTACTTTGTAGTTTAATTTTAAAATGGTACTTAATGATTTATTTTTTTTTTTTTTTTTTTGATATACCAATAAATGAGTGTACAAAAAAATCTAAAACAAAATTAATAAATAAGGAATTACATGATGTATTCAACTCTTAAATTTTTTTTACTCAAAACTATAAAATTGACATTTACAATATATGTGAGATTGACCATCAATATATATAATTTCATGAAGTCAGATTCCAAAGATTATTTATGTTATAATTATTTATTAGGCTATTGATTTATTTGTTCCTTGTTAGATTAGTTTTTTTTTCCTTTTCATTATTTATTTAAAATTTATAGTAATTTAAGCCATTGTATGTTTTAATCTTTATTTAATGTTTCCATTTAAAAACTAATGTTAATGAAATCCTACTCAGTATTATTTGTGAATTATTGAGATAAAATAATTCACAAACAATAGCTTTCTAAAAGATAATATTTAATTTAATTATTGTTTCTTTTAAAAATAGCAATGATTGTATATATTTTTTAATATATCTGCTGAATTATTTAAAATATCAATCAATTACTGGCACTGTGTATAAATGCTTATGAAGAACACAGGCACAGAGATTGTTTTATTTTTCATTGATGAAGGTATTTTAAATTATATCCAATAATAAACTATTATTTTCAAAGTACATATTAAATTGTTTTGTTTTATCTGTATCGTAGTCAAAGACATCATATGTATATGCAACATCAAAATAATGAAAAAATGTATTTAATATAGAATTGTTTCATCAACAGTTTCACAATATTTTGATAATTTAGATGTAACATAAGGAGCTCTTGTTTGTTTTTTCTTTTGTCTAAATATTTTTAATTCATGATAATCAGGAAAATTGAACCCAATTTTTCCATTTATGTACTATTCTGTCAATAGCAGGGCTATGATCAGCAAAGATTAATCCTGTTCACTTTTAGATCTGTTATCGTTACTGGGTCCCTTGAAACTTCTTTGTTGGAAAATCTGCAATTTGCTTCAGTTTTCCTTTTAAAAGCTCTCCAAAACCATAATTCAATTTAATAAATGTTAATTTTTTCCCTAAATATTGATGTGTTTATAGAAAGTGAAACTAAAAAAATATTTAAAAAATAAAACATATGAACTTTTAAATGAAATTTAACCAAACCTAATAGTAATTTAATTTCTTGAAAACAATGTATTGTATATTTTAAAAAATATATAATTCTTGAATCAATTATGGAAAAAGGAATTTTTAATAAATCTAATTAAATTCATTAAATAGATACTGCTGGAGTTTTTTTTTTTTTTTTAGTATTTCAAGACAGATTTTGTGGATTGGAGCCGTTATATTTAATATAGTGGCTAAAACTTCCAATTAACAACCTTGTTTAAAACTCTCCTGTTAAGAATTCCACTGAATCTAAATCTCATGTCAAATGGTAGTTTGTTTATGATATTCTGACCATATGACTTATGTATTCTGATATTCCTTCTCAAAACAATTTCTTTAGTGCAACCTTTTTTTGGACAGAGATGTTGATAGATCATGTCCCATTTATATAGATGAGTAATATAGATATTGATATTTATGTCAATGCCTAAATATATATGAAAAGTGTGTGTTTTTTAAGATAATATTGATCAATTCAATTTAATGTAAAGTTGTTTCCATGCACATGTGTCCTGTTGGTGCTTGTGCACTAATTATGGAAATTTTGAGAGCATTATCAGATAAATTATTATTGTGATTAATTTACCAACCAACATTCCTTATTCCTTTTATTGTTCTTACTTCTCCTTGTTAGAAAAATATATCATTTGCTTCTAGCCAGCTAACTACTTTAGAATAATTATGACTATAATATTTTTTTTTTAATGTTTAGTCTTTAACTATGCCTCGTGTAATTTCTTATTGAAGCTTTTGTACCTTATTTTTTTCCTAGTGAAAGGTTTATATTCTTTTTTAATTATTTAAAACTTTTTGTGTATTTAATAAAGATATATAAGTTAAAACATAATACTACTTACTGACCAGTGAGATATTATGAAACATTTTAACTACATTTCTATTTAAGTGTGTGTATTTGCATCTGTCAATAGGTGTATATTTATGTATGAATACATTTGTGTGTGTGTAAATATATATATTTATATTTATTATTATAAAATTAAAACATCTAAGTTGCAATTTTGAATCAGACTATTCTTTTTTACCATTGTGTAGAAATTAGGTTGATTTTTTTTCTTGTATTTGACCCTGGATCTAATTATGAATTATTTCATTTTATAAAGGCATTATTAAATAAATCATTTTCAAATGATAGATACTTGTTTCTTTTCTTCTCTTATATCTCTATCTTATTTTTATCAGGGTTATAGGTTAAGGAAATACTGAGACATTCTTATTTGTTTTATTGTAAAAACATATTGATATTAATGAAGTTAGTTTTTTTTTTTTTATTATTTAAAAATTAATACATTCTGCCGCATTGGAGGGCATTGATATTAGGGCTACATTAAACATACACACAATATATACATTCAAATAACTAAAATAGAGATAAAAGAAAAAGAGTTGTGGAAAGTAAAATAAGAAAATTAACATACATAGGGAAAAAAAAAATAGAGAGAAGCTAAATGAAATTGAAATATATAAAACACATTCACACCTATATACAATAATTGACATTAGTAAAACTCTGAAATATGAGTAATACAAGTCAATATATATATTTGTAATGTGGTTATGGATTCAGTTAAAAAACATTAAATTGTAAATATCCCTTGAAGTAAAAAAAAAATTATTATTAATTACAGATAATATTCATAAATTGCTAACTTGTACATTCCGTGCTATGGCCAATGAAGGACCTTGGCCTACTCAACGATTTTCCTCTACTCAGACTGATCTGCTTCTTCTCTCCAATGTCTCACTCCTAGTGACCTCAGGTCTTTATCTGAATGTCCTTCCATTATATGCAATGAGAGTCTTTTTTGATCGATCTGATAAACACAGCCCAGCCATCTTATTCTCCTGTTTTGATTGCAAGAAACTATGTCTGGTTCCCCATATAGGAACTTAAGTTTGCATTGGTTTTTTTGCATTAATGACTTCCTTCTTTGGCAGGGCCATTGGTAACTTACCATTATGAAAAAATTGTTTTTTATATAATTGGAAATTATTAAAATAGAACCTTGTGACCTTTCTAAATCTTCATAAAATTATTTCTTTTCATCGTCTTGTAATTTTTATGTTGAGGCATGAATATTTATAAGAGTGAAGTTAAACTTCTGACTGTAAATCTGAGTATTTTTCAACTACATCGTCATTATTATAAAGAGCATAAATGTTTTCTTTTATTTCCTTCAATAATAGCGGCCATATTCGACTTGACCAACCCTAACTTTTTTTTTTTTTTTTGTCCTCGCCGTTAAGACTATAGGGGGTTGTTCCCGATCCAGGGAGTGTGGGCGGGGATTTAAAAGACTCCTTCGGCACCGGGACGCGAACTCGTGGCTATTTTTATATCATTTGTCCAGATATCAGGTTGCTGGGCAACGGCGGTGCAGTGCACGCGCCTTAGCCCATTCGGCTACCCCGCCCACAGGACCAACCCTAACCTTCCATTAATCGATATCAGATTAACCATCATGTTTTCGGGCCCTTCTTATAAAAATATACTGTCGGATTTGAGATAGTGCCCCCGGGCATCGAATTTTTATAACTTTTCCGATTTAATCCATACCAGGGTTGACTATTATGTTTTGAGGGGCGCTATTTATGAAAATCATATAGAATTTGAGATTGGGACCCCCCGGGCCTCGACTTTTTTTAACTTTTTGGATTAAATCGATATCACGGTCAACTATTATGTTTTGGGAGGCGGTTTTTATGAAAATGATATCGAACTTAAGAATGGGCCCCCGGGCCTCGACTTTTTTTAACTTTTTGGATTAAGTTGATATCAGGGTTGACTCTTATGTTTTGGGAGGAGCATTTTATGAAAATGATATCGGATTACGAATCATTTTCATAAATTTTGAGATAGTGCCCCCGGACCTCGACTTTTTGTAGCATTTCAAATTTAATCGATATTAGAGTCAATTATTAGGTTTTGGGGGGCGCTTTTTATGAAAATGATGTCGGATTTGAGATAGTGCCTCCGGGGCCCGACTCTTTGTAACATTTCGGATTATATCGACATCATGGTCGACTATTGGATTTTAGTAATTTGTACTTTTTACTCAGAATACATTTTTTCCCATCTCTATTTGCACCTATCTTCACTGTCAGTCGTCCTATATTATCACCTAGGACGGCTAAGAGTTCAATATAGTTAAAACCCGATACATTTACTCCTCGGTTGGACATAAGCCAAAAATTAATCAAATTCCTGGCAGTCAGTTTTACAAACGAGCGCGATCATTAGTTATTCCTTCAATTTAACCAATGACGACAACCTAAAATGGGGCCAAGTATCATACATGTGTCTTCTGGTTAAATTCTGGGTCAAAATTTTCCAACTTTAATTCAAATTGGTATTGAGTAACCGACGGTCATTTCATGCTTTAGAACGATAGGTACTATGAATCTAAAAGATTAATCACTTAAGCATCTTTCGGCTAAATAATGACGTCCGTGGTTCTCTATCTATTATCTCTGTGACACCTGGTTCAGAGCCATATAACCCTTATATACATCATCTTTTAAAATAGGAATGGTAATTGGCTCTGTTTTTGTATTCCTATAATAAACAAATTTATTAATTCTAGGTAATGATATTATATGAGTCAATAGTATTTTGTTCCACCCTTCTATTAGCTGGTTCACCTTCTACTTTAGGAGATGTCCGTTCTGATATCGAGGGTTCGGCTGAAGCTGTGGGGCTTAATAATGGTTAGGGTTTCTTTGTGAAACAAACACAGACAATACAGAAACGTTTATTGTGGAAGAACACTACAAACCTAGAAGCCATATCGAGGGAGTATACATTGTTGTGATCACTGACGTCACATCTGACAGTGTTGCCAGTAACAGTGTTGTAGGCAGAATAT